CCCTAAAGATGATGGCAGTAAGGTTTCTCATTGATGATGAAAGTTATATACATAATATGGAAAGGAGAAGGCTAGAGTAAATTCTTTCGTGTTTGAATAGAATTAGAAGTATCAGTTTGATTACATGGTCTTCAACATATATAAACAGCTCTAAATATAGATATGTCTATGTATGCATATGTGTATACACACACATAGTTCCTAGTTCTGTCAGCTCAAAGAACCCAGAACTACTGACTCTCTGGAAACATTAAGTACACTTAGCATCCAGAGCCTGATTTCTAAATACCATTTTTCACTTAAAAAAGACAAAGCTCTTATGAAAAAATGGCTAATGCCAGGGCTGGGGTGGGAACGTAAGATGATCCTGGAATGTTTACTGTACCAAATGTAAAGAAATGCTTGAAAAATAATGGAGATATGTCAAGAATACACCAAAGGGTAGAGCCAGCTCTAAGAAGCTCTCACCAGCCAAGTTGAGATATAACTGAAAAGGTCCCACAGAGATTCATGATAAGGCTTGTTACAACTGCCCCTCCCTTGGTCTCAAAACATTCTCTTTGCAAAACTGACTAAAGGGCAGACAGAACACTATGTTTCTAGCAGGACAGGCCCCAAACTCATATGCTCTCTCAAATTCTACCTGTTACACCACTAAAACTTCCCTATTTCTCTATAAAGAGAGCAGTGCCAGGAAGGAGGCTAGGATTTGAGCAGACTGTCCACTTACCTCAGAGGCCCTTAGGACTAACTCCACCATGTCTTCTATGCCTGTTTACTGACCAAATACAAAGCCATGAAACTCCTATGTTATACCTATACCCACATCCATACAGCATTGTGAGATGCATTCAAGTCTGACATAATTTTATGACTGCCCTTGCTCCACCAAACCCTTTCACTGTTTGTCCTGGAACTCACAATCTACCATTTGGAAAACTGCTTCTATCATAAACTCCAATTTTGTTCCCCTTTCTGTCTAAGAAAACAAGACTATCTCCTGAGGACACCATTTCCTCTCAGCTCTCACAAGTGGTGTCACTTTTTTCTTCCAAACCTTCGTATGATTGTGTCTAGAGCTAAGGTAGGTCTCCTTGCTCTTTGGTGCTTCTAGACTTCCATTTGCCATCCTAAAATTTCTGACTCCTCTGAAACACAGGCCAACTGACTATATTCCCTGCTACTGTTCCTTGGGCAGTTGTATAAAAAACCTTCCACAATTCCTTCATTCACAAACTTTGGCACTATCTTAGGTTTTCTTTCTCTACCTTATTTCTGTCATTGTTTTTGGCAACTTCAATATCCAGACCAAAAATGCATATAACACATTAGCCTCTCAGTTCCTGGTCCTGTCTGTTTCCAACAATCTTGTTCTTCACCGCACCTCAACGTCCATTCCCATGGTTATATCTTACATTCAACTACAATACTCCATTACTCAATTTCAAGCATTCTGTAACTAACCAACACCTCTGACTTCTTATCTCAGTCTCTCAATACAATTCCATCATCAACTACAATCTGTTTATCTATTTGTCCAAACCAAGCTCACACAAAGCTGAAATTCCATAATCCCTCACTATAATAACTCCCTTGCCCTTTACTCCCTTCTGTGTTACACTCACCTGCTAACACCAAAACATGGTTAAAATCAACTGTTGGTCTTGTCCTTACCTCTACGCAAATAGCTAAACGTGACTAAAGAGAAAAAACACAACCGTGCCAACTGGTCTCCTATTAAATTTATTAACGTAAATTTCAAGTGGGCCTTCAATGCTGCCAGTCTAATCTTGTATTTATATACATGATCAATGTATTTTTTCATTTCTCAAAGTGATAACTTCACAACTCCTCCCATCTCCAAGTCCCCAGAATTTTAACTTTCTTTCTTGCACTGCTAATAAACCTGCAACTTATTTCACTATAAAAAACAGAAATAATTTCAAGCAAACTTTCACAACCTCCTACCATCAACTATATCAAGTGATTTGCATTTACATATGTATGTACTTGGCTTTCCCTCCTGTATTAGGTCGTTCTTGCATTGCTATAAAGAAATTCCTAAGACTGTGGAATTTATAAAGAAAAGAGGTTTGACTGGCTCACAGTTCTGCAGGCTATACAGAAAGCATGGCACTACCATCTACTTGGCTTCTGGGGAAGCCCCAGGGAGATTTTACTCACATGAGTAAGGTGGGAGCTTACACATCACATGACCAGAGCAGAAGCAAGAGAGTGAGGTTGGGAGAGAGGTGCCATACCTCTGTTTTTTGAGATGGAATCTCGCTCTGTTGCCCAGGCTGGAGTGCAATGGTGCGATCTCGGCTCACTGCAACCTTTGCCTCCCGGGTTCAAGAGATTCTCCTGCCTCAGCCTCCGATGTAGCTGAGATTACAGGCGTGCATCACCATGCCCAGCTAATTTTTATATTTTTAGTAGAGACATGGTTTCATCATATTGGTCAGGCTGCTCTCCATCTCCTGACCTCGTAATCGACCCACCTCAGCCTCCCAAAGTGCTGGGATTACAGGCTTGAGCCATCGTGCCTGGCCAGTGCCATACACTTTTAAACAATCAGATTTTATGAAAACTGACTCACTACTGAGAGGACAGACCAAGCCATGAGGGATGTGCCCCCAGGACCCAAACACCTCCAACCAGGCGCCACCTCCAACACTGGGGATTACATCTCAACATGAGATCTGGAGGGGATATCCAAACTATATCACCTCCTGATATGGATCTATGTGTCCACAATAAATCCTCTGACAAGTACACTAAACCCCATCCTGTCTTCACAACTTAAGGACCCTACTCCTGCAACTGCTATCCCCTCTTTCATTACTGATTTTTCATTTTCTGAGTAATTAATCACATCACACTCCAATTTCTCATCTAAAATAAGATACCCTTACTTGATAAAGGAAAAAATATGTATAGTATACCACCACTTTTAAAAATATTTATTTTATTTTTAAAATTTATTCATTTATTTTTTGAGACAGTCTTACTTTGTTGCTCAGGCTGGAGTGCAGTGGTGTTATCTCCGCTCACTGCAACTTCCGCCTCTCCGTTCAAGTAATTCTCCCTGCCTTAGCCTCCCAAGTAGCTGGGATTACAAGAGCCTGCCACCACACCCAGCTAATTTTTACATTTTTAGTAGAGACAGGGTGGTTTCACCATGTTGGCCAGGCTGGTCTCAAACTCCTGACCTCAGGTGATCCACCCACCTCAACCTCCCAAAGAGCTGGGACTACAGGTGTGAGCCACTGTGCCTAGCCAAAAAATACTTACTTTAAAATACCTTAAAGACCCATAAATTGCACAAATAATATAAAGAACTCCCATGTACCCTTCACCCAATTTTCTCCAGTGGTAACAGCTTACATAACTATCGTCAAAACCAGGAAAATGACATTGGTATGTAATATATTGCTATCTACACATATATATTTTTAAGGAGGATAGCCCATACCTTTTCAAAAGATCACCTATAGGATGGAGAAAACAAGGTGGAGCTTGACTTCTTTGAATAGAACTTATTTTGTAGATGTGACTTTGGAACTATGTAGATATTTTATATTATTGTAAAACTAAATTGAATTTGAACAAGGAATCCCTAAAAATAGGTTAACTTAAATGAGCATTCACTTGGTGGTATAACCATAGAGTGTAAGAATTGTAAATGATATCAAAACTCTATTATCTGGTTGTCTATCTGTATCAGGGTATACCCTATGGACAAAAATAACTGAAAAACAATTTAAAAAATTTTAGTAATCATAATATTAGTGGTAATGTGGGTAGTTTTAGGTAGTAAATGTGTAAGTTAAGTCTGCGACATTCTGCCATAGTAAATACATAAGGTAGCAAGGAAGCTACCAAAAAGTATATAGGCTGTTTCAAAAGGCCTTGGGCACCAACCTTAAGAGCTCTCCTTGAACAAAGATGGGACAATATGAGCATCAATAAAGACAATACCTGCAGTGGACTGAAAAACTTCAAGTATGTTTAAACCCATGAATACATGGTACTTGAAAGCAAAACAAAAAAATGAATTATTACCAATGGACTATGCTAATGAACCAATTCATTCTTTTGAAAAATTGGTTAACTAAATAGAATCATTTCCCATGAATTGTACTACTAAGAAATCAAAAAATTTGAGGAAATTTCTCTATACAGAGGTATCCAAGCTAATAAACGAAAAAGAAATATTAGAGGAACACACCATTTTGCAACTCCTAATGAATTAATGAGTCTAGGCACTGAGTACAAATGACTGCTAACATCATGTAAGACAGCCAACCTCTAAGCAGAATGATTAAATATTACATTAAGGTTTTTAAAACCAATAGATATTCTATTTAAATTTCTTTCAAGTCAGGAGTTCTACTAAACTGATCCATTTGTTTCACTTATGATCTTTAAATCGAGTTAACAAACTTTCTGTAAAGGGGCAGATGGCAAATATTTTAAGGTTTCTTGGACATAGGGTCTCTGTTGTAATTACTTGAACTCTACCTCTGCTATTATAGTGTGAAAGTAGTCTTGGACGATAGGTAAATGAGTGGGTGTAACTTGATACAAAAACATGGTGGGAAGAATTTCATTAATGGACTATAGTTTGCAGACCTGCCCTAAATGACAAAGTAGAGAAATCAATGATTCCTAATGATAAATTAATTTTTCCCAGAAGAAAAGTTAATCTGGTGATTATTATTCAATCCCCAAACTGAAATTAGCAGAAGAAATAGTCAACATTATTTTCTGGCTGACCATCTCTTAATTTATTTTGTTAATTTAAAATGTGTGGTAAGCATCAAATGTGTTTTGACAACTCCAAGTCCAAAGTTTACAATTTCTCAAACTGTAATAAAGCAGATTTTATATGTTAGGAGTCCAGTAATAACTCCTTATTTACTGAATTAACTTGATACATACAGGCATAAATATGTAGGTATATACACAGAAGTAATTTAGATAGTTGGACATTTTACCTTATCAGAAAACCAAATGAGCCTGGAATCTTCATAATACCTAAACATGCCATATTTAGGATCCAATAATTCCCTCATGATGAGCAAGAAAAATTCTTTGCGTACCCCTCCTGCATCCACAGCATCTTCTCCAACAAATATAACCTAAAATAGCACAATGCAAACACTGAATAGTCTGTAAAGAAATGAAAGTACATTCTGGAGACCCTATAACATGTTATTACTAATACATATTCAATAATTAACAGTTTAAATATATATATAATTTTATTTATTGTTTCAAAGACTGACTAAAAACAAATAGGAAAACTTTAAACATGGCTTCTGAATAAAAGTCCCAATTAAACAACAGAAAATGTCAGATTACCTTGAGTGGCTTTTTGTAATCTATGTTCTTTGTTTTCCTAAGGACTTCCATTGCATCTCCTACAATATTTTCTCTACGCACCACTAGAATTAAGCAGGGATTCACAGATTCAATCACTGGGAGAAAAAGAGAGGAGACGTTCTGTCTGTGGGCCTGATCAATAGCCATCTAGAAAACAAAAGATTAACATTTTAACAGCAATGCTACAATAAAGCTACTGTGACTGAAACAAGCTAACCTCTACCGATTAGTTATAGGTATTCTATAATTCCTATACTACTTAATTAACCAAGCACAACACAGTATCCAGTATGGCATACAAACTTAATAAACTGAGCATAAAGAGTACCCTTTTTAATGTTTTTATATTAACATATAACCCATAACTCCATTAAAGTAACCAAGTATAGAACTATAATAACACTGATAAATCTAAGCACTGGTTTTCCTAAAAAACACTCACTGGAGGGTAGGGTAAAGAAGAGAATAAAACAAACCTTTAAAGAGTATAAGGAATAGGCCAGGTGAGGTGGCTCACGCCTGTAATCCCAGCACTTTGGGAAGCCAATGAGGACAGATCACTTGAGGTCAGGAGTTCGAGACCAGCCTGGCCAACATGGTGAAACCCTGTCTCTACTAAAAACACAAATATTAGCAGGGCATGGTGGTGGGCGCCTGTAATCCCAGCTACCCAGGAGGCTGAGGCAAGAGAATCACTTGAACCCAGGAGGCAGAAGTTGCAGTGAGCTGAGACTGTGCCATTCCACTACAGGCTGGGTGACAAGAGCAAAACTCTTGTCTCAAAAATAAAAAAATAAAAAACAAAGAGAGTAAGAAATAATCTGGCTAAGGGAGTATTACACAAATTCACTTAATTAACTGATCAAATGTGCTCACAAACCAAGCGTTTGCCTTTTATCATTTAAAACTTTTGTTCTTTTCTTATGGTTCTTCCTGAGTTCTTGCTCTAAAATGGAATATCCCATGTTAAAATCACCAAGTTATTAACTTACTATTTTAACAAAGACCTCCAAATAACAGGTTTACTAGTTGTTAGTATAGAATCCTACAAAAGTATTTAGAATACCATATGCATTTATTTGAACAAAATAAAATGGTTAACAAGATTTGAAGGTTTTCAATTTTAAAAAATATTTTTAGATTATTAAACATTCAGGCTCTTTTTCATCCTTTTCTTAATCCTTAGTTGGTATAGTCAGATATTCTATACCAGAGGAAGCAGCTCAAAATCTTTTTTATTTACAAGATCAAATGATAAAGCAAACTTACTGTAACCCTTTAAAGTCATAATATGAAGTAGTTTTAAAACTCCTCATTATAAAACAAATAATGCTCAACATAAAATGGATGTGGAAGTGTGGTAGGAAGGGGACATGAAAGAGAAGTAGGAGATAATGGTGACCAACCCCAGGAAAATATTTAATACCTTATTATTAAAACTTTCTTCAAGGAAATTTCATATCTTCTTCCTAACAAGAGATCAAATGCTTCCTACTTCCTTCCTCTTCCTAGAAGAATCATCTCACTTCTAGTGACTTCCATCTCTTACTAAGTATATGAAATGGGGACATATAGCTACCCAAGGTACTTTGTGTACCTTCATTACTGATCCTAGAAAAATTTCAAATATTTATTGTCTAAAAACATGAAAGAAACAATTTTTTTAAAAAAGCAACTCAAATTAGATTAGTAATATACAATGTTTTACCTGCATCTGTAAGACTGCATCTGTCTGTAACAGAGTAGTTTTTGCTTGGGCATCAAATACAAATGGATATGTGCAGATTGTAACAGGGATATCTGCCAACTGGAAATAAAAAATTAACTTATTAGTACAAGTTGATTTGTGATATGCTTATTGTGGATTCTGTCATTTCTTATAAAGTTGACTACATTCTTTGTTTATTCACTCATGTGGTTCAGGAATTAAAGATAAAACATGCTGCTTAAAGAATTATTAAAAATTAAATGAGGCAGTGGAATAAACCCAATTTGCAATTTTAGGGGGCAACTGTATACTTGAGGGTCCATACAATCATATACTGCAAGTATCTTTTGCTTACCATATATTAATTGCAAGTCTCAGTGAATGAGGTTACAAATTTGTTCTAAAATCAGGGGCTCCTATGTTAAATACTGTAACCAGTTTTTACATGTTAGGGTGACAGCAACAACTGAGACTAATGATAAGTAATCTGTCTATTCCTTCATTTAACAGATATTTATTAGTATAATGTCATTAGGGTGTCAAAATTATTATGAGTCCAACAATCTCTTCATTTACTTAATATACAAAAAAAAAGTACCATTTTTATTATGTTAGCCTTTAAAGTTAGGAAAACTGATCTATTATTATAATTATCAGACATTGGACACTTTATAGACAATTACTTGTCCTAGCAGGTAAAACAATGATTGACTGCTTAGTATTTTAACCATGCAGTAAAATATAAAGAGTTATTAATTGCTAGTCACACATTCTTGTAGTTGGAAGAGGACCTACTTCTACCATCGACTCAACAAGACAGTATCTTTGTGCCTGCCCTGACTCAGAGTCCCTGCTATAAGACTTCCAATGAATTCATACACCATAAAACAATCCACTTCTTAGTGATTAGATAATTATTCATAGTCTGAATCTGCATCTTTTTTTTTTTTTTTTTTAATACGAAGTCTCACACTGTCGCCTGGGCTGGAGTGCAATGGCTCAATCTAGGCTCGCTGCAACCTCCCCCTCCGGCTTTCAAGTGACTCTCCTGCCTTAGCCTCCCGAGTAGCTGAGATTACAGGCATCTGCCACCACACCCGGCTAATTTTTTGTATTTTTAGTAGAGATGGGGTTTCACTATGTTGGCCAGGCTGGTCTTGAACTCCTGACCTCGTGATCTGCCTGCCTTGGCCTCCCAAAGTGCTGAGATTACAGGCATGAGCCACCTTGCCGGCCTGAATCTGCATTTCTATATATCACAATGCATCATTTAGTCTTTGTTTCACCCCTGCTGGGAAGTGTATGTAGTTTAAATATTTGTAGTCCTGATCATACTCTCCCTAAATAAATTATCTTTTATTCCATTCTCAACATTCACTCTTCAGTGTTTTTCTTGTGACAAAGTTTACCTCCAGCCTATATTTTGGCACTGCCTAGCTAATGATCATAAAAACTAATTTTACTTCTCTGAAATTCAAAAAGATTTAGATATCTCTAAAGCACCCTTTGGCTTCAAAACTCTGTTTTCATAATTTTGTGCTACTTCTATGTGACAATGAAGAAGCAAACAGTATTAGACCCATAATTTAAAGCCAACTCAAAATGCTTCACTGATTCAAGTGCTGGGAAAAACATACCTACCAACAAACAAAAAGCATATCAAAGTAAAACCAAAATCTGTAACAGATAAAGAAAGTATTTTAAGGTTCCCAAGTGTTAAAAGGGTAGTCTAGGGTTGTTGATTACTTAAACCAAAGCGCTAGAACTTTTATATATTAGAAGTGAGAAAGATATTCATACCAGAAGTTTAACTTTGTGATCATTTTGAGTATCAGTTAATAAATTTTAAAAATGAAGTTCATTTTAATTCTCTGATATAAAATGTTTTCAGCCACATTAAGTAGGCATTTGCTAAATTTTAAAATATAAGTTTGCTTTTTTATATTGTGAGGACACATTACACTTTATACTGGAAGATTTAAGGACAGAAACTATTCTGAAGCAAATATTGTTGAAAGGCACCATATAGACGTAATGTTAACAGAATTTCATTTTCTTCAGAAAACTTCTGAAATGTTATACAAGATAATCTCTACAGACTCAATTTTTAAAAAGACAAATATATTTATTAATTTACACTTTTTAACCACACCCCCCCCCCCAAAAAAATTTGGCTCTTCAATTACTTAGAAGAAAATGGAGTATATCTTACTCTGAGCATGAGCTTTACTACACCAAACTTACCTCGGTTAATCCATGGTTGACATCCTAAGACAGCAGTGCAGAAAATAACAATAATGAGGAAAGAGCAATGTTAGTGTTCAAATTTAACTATTTCTATTCAAGGTAGCATTTCATATATTTTGCTACAGCAGAATACTGAAGTAATGAGGTAGAAAATACATCTACAATAAAATACCACCCCCCCCACATATGTATCTTATATATATCTATAAATGTAAGATCTTTGTTTCAGGTACCTTGTGATCATAAAATTACTGAGGCTTGAACATAACGAAATTTGTTTTCAGCAATTAAGCACCCCCATTTGCAGAATTTTGGCATAATAAGAAAACTAATCCTACGCTTGGCTTGGTCTTAAAAAAATAATTTCATGGCTGTTTCTCTACCCAAAAACGGAAAAAGCATTTCTCAGACTTTAAGACTTTTAAAATCTCAGCAAAATGTTTGACAGTGTTTAGTAGATTAAAATGCTATATGGACAGGAAGAAAACATAAGCCATAAATTGTTTTTGACAGAAAAAAAAAAAGTAAAACATAAGGTATCTTACATTAAGCGTTCTTTAAAACTGAATTAAGACAGAAAATACAGGAGAGAAAGGCTTGACAAGCAAAAAGAAATGAGAATAGAAAGACATATTAATTAAGGAAGTAATAGTGGAAATTATAACGAAAACTTATTAAACAGAAACGTACGAACCTTTCCACGTATGCTCAGAGCTGACTTGTGTAAAGTACCAGAATCTTCAGAAATATGTTACTAAATTTGCGGATGGTGTCTTGTGTTGCAAAGAATTAATTTTACCCCAGAAGACAGGGCATTGCCCTAGGTTACTGGGAGGCGACCTACAGACCTGTGGAATACCATGCCTGACAGAAGTGTCTTTGTTTGCCTGGGGCTTTAGCCACCGGACACTGTGGTTTATGATAGTGGCTTCGGCCATGTGCTGTCAGTTCTGCCTCCAGAAGAGCTGAGAACTAGAGGTTACCACATGAGCAGGATGTGACTGAACCCCAGTAAAAATTCTGGGTATCAGGGTTCTGGTGCGCTTCCTTGGCTGGAAATGCTCTGTACTGTCACACATCTATGCCAGGAAAGTAATTCATCCATGACTCTACAAGGAAAGGACAACAGAAGCTCTGCCTCTGATATCTTTTCCAGACTCTGTCCTATGTGCTGCTTCTTTTGACTGACTTTTTTTTTTCACAGATGGATCCTTTTATTTGTCACCATTAAAAGCCTACATTTTAACAGATTCTTGGATTTGTAGTCCACATCCATCTGCTCATATAACTTCGGCACCTGTCACATCTCCAGTAGCCTTTCTAGAACTGCTACCTTTGCCATGAAGCTCCCTGGTTTTCCCAATTCAAACTTGGGAGTCTTCAGCATTTTTACTTTTCTAACAAGGTCAAGCATGGAGAAGATAAACAGACTGGCAAGCCTTTTCTCTATCTTTTCCAATGTCAGGAATCAATTTATTGACCACTTCTTTCAAGTCACTTGTCTGAACCTCTTGGATCATGATTTTCATCACCTTCTTCAGGATTTGGCAGACCTGTTGGTGCTGAGAGTAAGAGGTCTTCTGTATCAGACTGTTGCATTTCTTAGTAAAACCAACACAGAACAGTCGAAGCAAATAACCATCAGTGGTCTTGACCAATGAACATGAACTTCTTTCATGATCTATCAGTTTTTGGCCACGGAACTCATTTTGTCATGGGTAAGATCCATGCTGTGGAAGTTGGACAGTTTTGGCCCTGAACATCCTCAGTAGTCCGCTTGAATTTTTAAAACACAATTTCATCATTCTGCAGATCAGAAAGGTTCACTTCAAACACACACAACCCTTGAGGCCATCAGATATAATTTTGGTTCCTTGAGTCCTGGTGACTAGTGTTTCTCCAGTATTTCTTATACTATACATAGCAAGTACTTTCATACCATACCAATTATTTTTAGAAAGTAGACAACCATTTCTTGGCTCCTTATTTGTCACCTTTCATAAGGTGCTTGTTCTTGCCAAATGTCATGGTGCTGCTCAGAGGGCCAAAAGGACTGTTGGCTGATTTTAACCCATTATCCTTTCCTTGTAATAAACTCTATCAGTGTAACAATTTTCAGTGAGTTCAGGGAGGCCTTGTAGCAAATTATCAAACTTGAGAGTAGCTTGGGGAACCCTCCCTAAACTCACAATTGGTATCAGAGGTGAAGGCAGTCTTGGGTGGAATGTTCTCTTTAACTTTGTAGTTGACTAAGTTCCCACATGTCACTGGGGTATTATTGGAGGATTTAAGATATTAGCAAAGACTTTGGGTTCTCTCACTATACTGTGTTAAGTAAAGCCAAAGCAGTGTAAGCATAAGCAAAACATCCTATTCAGAGGAGTAATATTATTGACAAGAGTTTCTTTAAAAAAATTCCAAGTACCAAGTTATTACTACGTAAGTGCTCCTACTGGCAGTGTAAACAAGATGAAAGTCTTTAGAGACTGTTCTGCAAAAAAGCCTTTTAGATTACACTCAGTTTAGCTGGAAGGCAACATAAAAGAATATTTGAAACCCTTTTATAGTATACCTTGTGTGATGTTTTTGAAAAAAGAACTTTATTATTTTAAAGTGGCTTTACGTTCACGGCAAATTAAAAGGAAGGTACAGAGACTTCCAATATACCCCTGTACTCACACATGCACAGCCTTCACATCACCAATATTCCTCTTGTAGGACATTTAAAAAGTGGTATTACTACTAAGAAAGTTCAAATAAGCAAAAAAAAAAAAAAGCCTATAAAAATTCATCTATGGCCTGCTTGATAACTATACTACATACCAAGGAAGTTCATAGTATGGGAGATGAATTTTATCCTTAGCTAAGTAATGAAATATTAGTAAGTATGTGTTATCTTTTTTATCATTACATGTAAATAAATATAGAGGCTATGCATATCATTATCCACTGGGGAAGTCAATAAGATAATGTTAGAATTTATAGTGTCACTAACCCCATACTAAGCACAGTATGATTCGGTTACACTAAAAATTTGGGGAGAAAGATGTGAACTGGCAAGAATATGAAAAATAATATGACATGTGAAAAACCTGAGAAACAGAGGGATGATTAGACATTAGATAAAATCATTTTTCTAGGAGAGAGAGGCATCAAAGGGAAAACCAGATTAAGATAATTATTACAAATTTCAATTTAAGGATTAAGAATTGTAGACAAAGGCTCAAAAATTTTAAAAGAGTAGATGCTAAGCAAGAATAAATTCTTCTGGGAAATATTAGAGTTGCAAGGTGGCCTAAATTTAATGCATCATAGTAGCATTTCCAATGGAAATTTTAAAAAAAGACAAAGGGGTACAGGGGCAGGATGTGGACAGGATAACAAAAACGTCTTAAGTCAACTAAAGGTCCACTGCTAAAAATTCAGCATACCACTTGATGTGAGAGCTACTACTGGCTCCAAATCCATAAACTCAAGCACTAACTGTTAGCTGTTTTTAGAGTGGGAACCCTGAAACTTGGGTTAAGGCATGCCTTTTTGTTGTTTATGAGGCAGGGTCTCCCTCTGTTTTCTAGGCTGGAGTGCATTGGCACGATCTCAGCTTACTGCAACCTTCACCACCCGGGTTCAAGTGATCCACCCACCTCAGCCTCCCAAGAAGCTGGGACCACAGGTGTGCCACCATGCCTGGATAATTTTTGTGTTTTTTTGTAGAGATGGCGTTTCACCATGTTGCCCAAGCTAGTCTCGAACTTCTGAGCTCAAATGATCTGCCCCTGTCTTGACTTCCCAAAGTGCTGGGATTACAGGCTTGAACCATCATGTGTAGCTAGGGCATGGTTACTCAATGCCTTAGAAGCTGGAGTAACAAAGGACTAAAGGAAATTTCAAAAGTTGGGGTTTTATGACTTTACTTAGGCCGTTTTTAACATAAATGGTTGATGGTTCCAGTTCTTTTTCTTACTTTCATTTGCTCTTTATCAATGGTTCCAGTTTTTAAAGATAAAATAGATGCAGCACCCTGGCACTGCTGGTGTCATCTTGATTTAAAGGCATAACATGGGATTTCTCTGAACAGTTACTATCCCAAAGAAAGGATACCAAAGTTACTGAAGTTATTCAAATAAACATGAAGGGTCTTATTAGGTAAGAGAGAAATAAAAAGACACTTCTAAAACATAAAGAATATAAAAAATACACAAACATAATTTGATAATCTAATATATAAGGAAAAAAATGATATTATGATCAGCCTAAGAATCATTACTTATTACTGGATCCCTACAAAATATTAATGCCACTAAAAATGACTAGGGAGCTTTAAAAAACAAGGATGAACTTTTCTGAGCTGTGAGAAAGCACCCATTACTTTAGTCAACTTCTTTGTTTTATTAAATGGGTAAGAAATCTAACCCAGGAAAGTTAGATACTGGTATAATTTCCCAAAACTGGTCTACCCAGCTGTTATATTAGCCTATCTTCCTATTTTGCTGATGAACACATCATGTTGGTAGCTCAGCATCTGCCCAGAGTAAACAACTTAACACAGTAGAACAAATATGGTGATAATTTATACATATAGAATAATTAATATAAAATAAGATTTATTACTTATATAGAATATCAAAGACTGTAAAATGTTTGTTCACCAATTTACCATAGTAGCTTTCTTAGTACTTACTTGTATCTGACATACATCTCAAATAGGTATACACGGTTTTAGAAAAAATGTATATGCATTAAAAAAAAAAGTTTCACTTGAATCTCATCATAATTCAAACAAGACAGACCTAGTATAGACCTTTCTATACTTTATTGTAAATTAGTCAATTTTTACTAGGTATGTATGAGGATATGCATGAACAATAACTAAAAGTATTAGGAAGGGAAGCAAAAAAGAACAAAGAGTTTGGTCGTAACCAATAAGGTATCTTTACAAACAATGTAAAAGCAAAGTTAAAAGAGGATAAGGATACTGAGGATAGTACCTAGAAGGTGGAGAAAATCATTACATAGCAGAA